AAGCGACATTGCAGACCGTACCCTCCTCCACCTAACCGACCATGCACCTTTCACACCTCACACAGCCACCCTGATCACCACGAAGCTGGCCTTTTCTCAGGTGACGATCCACCAGATTCACGATCGGATTTAACTTTTTTTTTTTTTTTTTAATGGGAACAAGGCTCCAATCTATTCGTGGGGAGCAGCACATGCTGGGAACCGGGCCCAGCGTCCCATATGGAAATTTTTACATAGAAGTTTTGAAAATTTGAGATATTTGAGATACCGGGGCCATTACCCGACTTTGGCTAAGAAAAGTTTGTACTTAGCAAATTACTACGACAAACTTCAGGAATAAGCAAAGTTCAGAAAACGACTCAGAAACCCCCCACCAATCCTCTTTGCCTCACTCCAGCAAGACTTACTGCAGCAGAGCCACCATCTCTGCTGCTGCTGTACCCTATTTCTGTCCTACAAGCTAGCCCCCTCACTAGTAAGACATTGATATTCAACCATCTACTTCTCCATGCAGAGGGCCCTTTTGTTTTTAGAGAGCATTCAGATCAAGAAATACCTGCCCCGGATCCGACCAGCATCGTCTAAGTACCAGCTTACCAAAGGACACTAGGGTGCCTTCCAACTCCCCAGATCTCTCTACCAGGTCTCTTGCCCTCGTACAGCTCGAGTTACAGGGCAGCGCGACCAAGCCCCAGCACCTACCAGTGTCGTTCTGGCTTCGTCCATTGGCAAGGCCACGGGGACCCAAGACTACAGCAAATACCAGACAAGCCACCAATCAGCACCATAACTGTAGATCCGATCACTCAGCTCCTTCGGGCGCTGGTTGCAGATATCCCACATAAAATCCCTCACAACCCTACTCCAGCAAGTCTTACTGTGATGAAGCCACCATCTTCACCTCTGCTGTACCCTATTTCCACCCTCCAGCACCAGCCACTTTCATCCCACCACACCCTTCTGAAAATAGACTTACCACCCTGAACCGGCGATCCCTCCTCTGAGTGAACCCCCCACTTCCCACCTGCCTCTAATTCAACCTTCCCCTTTCATTTGCAAGACCGCATCCTAGCAAATTTGAACTACAACTTCCAAAAAACTACATCAGATTTAGAATTAGATCAAAGATGGATAAACTTATTAACTGTTCCGCAGGAATATGGAAAGATACTCCGCTAAAGTTTGTCTTTTGCAAAATTGGTGACTGGTCCAGCGAGGTCCTTCGACTGATTTTCCTTAAACCACCAGTACCTGGCCCAGCTATCGAGTCCGAGCCTCGGCCGACCGGTACGCCGATCCGTGCCGAGGCTCGGACTACCGGG